GATTTCACATATCACTTTGGTGTCCCTTACGAAATGGTCTCTCTCGCGCTTCTCTTTCGTGCTCCATGGCGACAAATAGCTTCGACTCACTATCAGATGGTGCTAGTCAACAGTTTGTGATGTGATAATTAATGACTGAAAGTCGTCCTGAAAGTTCACGTATTCATCTGTTCATTGATGTTAGTACAGGTCAACTGAAAGATCAAATTTCAAACCTGATACGAAAAATTCAGCGAATAAAATCGAAATCTGTTATCTCACAAAAACTCACCTATTATTCATGTTCATCCATTGAAATTTCGTTTGCATCAAATAGCCAAAATGAGTCATATAAGCAAACAAATTCCTTCAAAAAACAATTGCTATCCATATCATTTTATGTGTATGACCAATGGTGACTGAACGGTTGTGTTGTTAAGCTGTTCGAACTGGATATTATTTCACAATAACTGACTCATCCAAAGCGATTGCAGATTGATTCACCCCAAAAAGTGTTTGTTTACATCAGAAAACCCTTCAAATCTTGTTTAGAAGTCTTATCAAATCCATTCTAAATTAGCTGTAGGTGTTCGAGAATGAAATTTCGCTGAAAAAATTGTTGATGCAATATTTAGAAATGTTCAGTTCAATTACGAAAACACAATAAATGTTTCGTTTGGCTTGGCTTGAGTTGTTTGTAAGTGAAATGAACTAACTTGCTATGAAAGTTGTTTGTAACCATAGCAAATCGTGTTCCTTAATCATGAGATTTAATCATGCTCATAATCAGCACTCAGTTCTCCATCGTTTTTTAGTTTTGTACAACAATTGCGAAAACATTTTTAGAAATATTTATTCTTAGAAACATTATTCAAGATACAAGTATATGGATTTAGATAATGTAACATATTATCGTCCACAAGCCGACCTCAAATAACGAACATAAAACTGAACTAATTGCTAGGCTATTAGAGTAACGAACGGTGTTATTTACGTTGGAGTAGCAAAAATTATTCATGCAGAGTGATTGTCGAAGAGATAATGAGGCATTCGTTCATTCATATGATCATTTACTGTACAAGAGGTGATCAACTGAAGTTTAATTTAAGAAACAGAAAGTTGTATCATTGAAATCGAACAAATTTTGCACTGTGTATGAAAAAAAGCAAGCACTCATAAGAAATAGTTAATGTGATTTTGAAATATTATTCAACAAATCATAAAAAGGTGCTCTGATTTCATTCGAGTACCTACTAATCGGCGTTTTTCCTTTTGGATCATTTAGAATCATTCAAACTTTTAACCTCTTATTAGTAGTTAAGTTGTTTGTGCACGTTTCTTTAATGGAACATGTAATCACCGCTTGCAACGGTTATTGTCCAACATTTAAATGCTACTAGCTCATATAGGAATAAGATGTATTGCAATAGGACGTGAAGTATCTTGCCATAATGGACAGTAGCATTCACATTGTCAGATGAAATTTAAGATCAGTTGAACTGACTGCGAAAGGAATGTATAACTGAACAATGTTTTGATGGATTTCAGGTGATACGCCTGTTGCATCCATATTACCGTTTGCGGCCAGATCAATGGGGATGGCAAAATTCAATTCGACATAACCTCAGCTTGCATGATTGTTTCGTGAAGCTTCCGCTGAAACAAACCTCAGCTAGTGGAGTTGTTGGTGAGTGATAAATGCTGATATTACTATCAATAGTAGTATAACTGTTGTTATTGCTGATATTTTTAGTGTTATCGTTATCACAAGCATTCCTAGAACTATCAATTCAGTAATGTGCTCTCTCTCATCAGAAATTTTATCTCCTAAGAGCTTTCTGGAAGTAGTTACGAGCAAGTGCATAAAATTATCAGTTTGGTAGCTTTCCCTATCCATTGAGTTATCGCTATGTTAAGAACGGAAGCTAATATTGTCCGTAGGTGGAGGAATTTCAGGACATTTCTGGACAGTTGTTCCGGAATTGGGCGATAAGCAGACGCTTCGACGACGAAGTCGGGCTGCAGCTCGAGCCGCCAACCGAGCGGCTGCCGCCTCATCGGGCAGTCCGTCGCAACGAGGCAAGAGCAAAGGAAATCGCTCACCGAACGATAACAACAGTGAGAGCAACCCGTCGACACCGCAAAAGCAACAGCTGTTGGGTACGTTTTGATCACTTGACAATTTTGATCAGATCTATTTAACAATCTCTCACCCTAAATGTTTCGAATTTCGGCAAATGTGGAATCGCCTCAGAACCTTCCTCCAATGAGTTGATTCATAATATGTTTTCAGATGGAAGTATGGGATCAGATACGAACCTAAGTGACCATTCAACAAGCACAAGTCCTGAAGCATCATCACTCAGTTCGCCGGTTGCCCAAGACATGTTGTCACCACCGGCTGACCAAACTCAGGTTTGTTCGCTCTCTTGCATCCAAATGTTTCGTTCATCTCGTCTTCTTTCGCATCTTCAAAATTCAACGAAAATAAAATCATGAAAGTGAAATTATTGAGCGAAATTGTTATTTCTATATTTCGCCAGCACAGTTCTTCTCAGTGTATCATGTTGATCAGATTGTTTCAACCGTTTTCGTGACTAAAACCAATGACATGTCCAGCTCCTAAAATATCCCAATGTTATTTGTGCTGTTGAAGCTCAGCATATGCTTGGTGATCTTAATCATAGATTAATAGCGTCATATTTCAGTTCCAAAACTCGTTGCCATCTCTGCACAAGCCTTTGCCATCGTATATGATGAATCCTCTGAGTTCAGTGTCGAAAGCCACCTCAGCGCCGCCAGTTCCGTCGAACCAAAACGCTTCATCTGTCAACGATCCATCGCAGTCTCCGTCGTCCTCGTCAAGCAACACAAAACTTCAACAATCGCTCTCACCACCCCTTAACTCCTCGTCAACTCTACTCAACAATCCAAACATCGGTCTTGAGGCAGTGCTGAATAGTGACGAATACAAGTTATATACGCAACAACTGCTAAACGCCTGTATGTATCAACAGGTATACACAAATACGGTTAATATTTTGAGAATCTTCTGCTTTGCATCATCAATATGTTATCTTTTGTTGGCGCTTTTTAGAGAGCCACTAAATTCTAAAAAAAANAAAAAAAACCAGAATTCAAAACTCGCAAATGATTGGAGCAATCTTCAAGAAAAATATAACGATTATACGTAAATGCATTTTTCCAAGCTAGATTCTCTGTTACGAAAATTTCACTTTTAAATGGTTTTCGTCTCTTTCCATGAGAGCTGAGCAGTGATTAACTAATATCCGCTTGCGAATTAATCTCACCGTTGAAATTTAATCCGAACTGACAGAAAAGTGAGCTGAAGAGTTTCCATTAATAAGACGAACTTCTTATAATGCCAATCATATTCAATGTCGATTGTTTGGTATCGTTGATGCGCACAACATTAATCTAACCGTTTGTGAGAATTTCAGGGACTCATGTCATCGTTGCAACAACTCGCCGATTTAGCCGTTCACGTCAATCCAGCAATCGCTAGCTTACCGTGTGCGTTGTTGGCGAACAAAATGCCATTTTTGGGTGGTTTGCTGACCAATCCGGCTACGATGGCCGCTCAACTGCCGGCCGTGAGTGCAGCCACTGCGGCCGCGATCACTGCGGCTGCCGTCGGTCTGGCGCCCAGCTCGTTGACTGGTGCGACGGCTGCGGCCGTTGCAGCCTTATCGCCACCGGCGGCTGCCACTCCGCAGCTCTCATCTCCAGGTAGCGGCGGCGGCAGTGCCGGCGGTGGCGGCGGAAACGCCGCCGCAGCTGCGCAATTGCCCGCGGCACTCTTCAGCGGTCTTCAGTTTCCAGTTAAGACTGAATCACAGTCATTCATGTTTTGACACGGCTGTCAGATGTTTGGATCAGCGTGAATTGTGATAATTTTATTGTTGTTGTTGTTGTTGTTGTTGTTCCTGTTGTTGACACTACATTACTTTCTCCTAATTTTGTTATTTTTGTGATGATTGATCTTTCTATTTTGGAACTGATACATATTTGTTATTTTCAGTCATATTTTGATAGTGAAGGAACATATGTCGAGTTCACCTGATAATGCTTCCGTCGTTAGCGGTTGACCGTAGCTTTTACTTCTGAAATGATACGCATTCATGACATATTGAAATGGAGTCATGAAAATTTCAGTATGAGCTTAAGCTAGGAAGGATGACACCATTCCCAGAGGATTGCCTTCACAGTGTTTAAAGCGCGAGCCGTCTAAAGCTCGTCTTTGTTACCTTAAGTGAATTCCTGCTTGTACCTCGTGGCATTCTCCGCATAGAACTATAAAATCTCATCACATATCACTGAAACGTTTAGTTGGTTTTGCCAGCTTCAGTGATCCGTCGGAACCATCCTTTCAGTTTTGTGATGCCTGTGAATTGCTCCAGTGGGCAAGTTTGAAACAATTCATGGAATTCTTCTTGAGTGAGCTCATTGCAACAAATTCCTCCATATATGTTCCCATATTTTTCTGTTGTTTTTCTTCTTGTTGTTCTTCAACTATACAGCCAAACAATCGATGACCAAAGATTTCGGCAAGCACCATCAGTCGGACCGTTAAAATCGTCTCTCGATTCGCTTGGACAATTGGGTTTCGTCGGAACCTACATTTTAACTCAGTCTGGGGGGAAGTTTGACCGTTTGAGCTTAATCTTTCTTAGAAACATCGAACTTAAGCGATTTTGTCTTGAAATGATCGTCCACTGGGGTGCTTACCGACAAATTTCTGGCCGTTGTTACAACAGAATTGTTTCATTGTGTTGTTCTGGTTTCAGTGATATAGGTGGGAAAGAATATCTGTTCACGACTAAACCGGTCGGCAAAATGCACGATGACCGCTCAGCCATTTCTCCGTACCTATATCAATTGCATTCTCCTACAAATACCTCAATAGTAATGAGCAAATTTTTTCGAGAAATCAAATTCTCAAATTCTCCTCAGGAACGGTCAACATTCACATCAAAACATTCACGATAAACTATCGATAATGTTAGAGAGTTCGATGAACTTACAAAAATCGGGTGCTGACGACATACAGCCTTGATATTAAAGTCTAATAAATTAAAGTCTGCTCAAGCTGGCAGCTCCAGCAAGGGTAGCAGGAGAGCAGTTGTGACCCGTCTATCCATATCACTGATAATCAGTGCAGAAATTGCACTTGCAATTATACATTTATACATAAATGAAACTGTCTCACCTTCGCTGTCATTATAATTATTGTCCCTACCAACCGTCGTCACACTAACTCATCATGCTTTTCTGATCTCTAATCGATTCGTTTGTTCGTTTTGATTTTGTTCGTTTGTTGATTTTTTTGCTCGTTCGTATTCGTTTCATGATAAAGCCGGTGATCTTTCAGCACATGTAAAAGTTTGTTCGAATCGCCAACGTTTATTTTGTTTCTTTCATTTTGATTGAGTTGTGTTCCATTTCCGTTTGACTTACAATTAGTTTGAGGGTTTCGTGTTCTGAGTTATTCGAAAGTGTTTGTTGTTTCTTGACGTTTACCTTCATTTTCATGTGAAAAATCCTCTTTTGAATCCTTCATCTACATCATCAAAATGCTCTCTTATATATACATATTTATACATATTTTTACTTCATTCGTACACAAACACAAAGAAATTTGTAATCCAATATACATAACCAATGTACTGAGGTGAAAGAATTTCGTTGAATATTCGGTTTTGTTGGAAACATCATTCATCATATCATAGCTCTGATCGATTGATAATGTTGTGTTATCATCCTTATTATTTCTGGTGTCATCATTTTCCATTTTGATGAACATTATTATTATCATTATCATTGTTATAATTATTATTTGATGTTTACCAACGGTGTTCGTATATTATTCGTTTTCATTGATTGCTACACTCTTCTCGAAGCTAACTCAACTCTATCGTAATCATCAGAATCCATCTAACTCAAACTTTCGAAGTTATCGTTTCTTTCGACTGTCTGATTGTGTTTTTATGTTTTGTCAGTTTTGATTGGTAGATTGATTTTCCACGATTCTCGACTCATTTTCGTCGTTTCAGTACCGTATCTTTCAGTTGCACCGAACCATCTCTCTTGTCCTCCTCTAGTACGTTTGATCGTCGTATCCACCTCTTAATATTTTCTCTTAATAACAATCCTCGAAGAGCTTTTATCGCTCGTTTTGAGCCAAATTCTAATGGTACGACTCGTTCAGTACTTTGCGCCATCATACACCACCTTTCATTAGTGATCAATGATTATTAGAGTGATAGTTTCTTCATAACTGATTTTATTTGATAATAATAATGATAATAATGATGATAGTAATGAAGAACACGAACGCACATAAATGAATGAAATATATCCGAACCTAATGTACCTAATCACGCATTGTATCGTATCGTTCAGTTGATAATCTCCTTTGATGATGATGTTGATGGTATATATAAATATATACATACGTTAATCATGTTAGTGCTGTTTTATGGTGTGTATGGTGTGTGTTTATGTATTTACTCCGAATGCACATCGTTGGTATAAGACGTCTTCTTCATGATGATTGATGAATTGACTTCTGAGGTCGTTTTTATTCGTTGTCATCACTCTTCTGATAGGTAGTATTCGTTGTTGTGAGAATTTTGAACCTGATTTGTGACTGATTTGAAATGATTAAAATGTATTCATTCAAGTCCAGATGGCATCCGACCACGGACACTCATTGATTACGAACGAATGCAATAGACGATTTGAGCAAGTCCTGAAAATACCAAGGCAAATTCCCAAATTTGAGGCATCGGTCCCAGTGAAGCGTCCAGAGGACTGAAAAATTGATAGGATATGTGGAACTCATGAAGGCCGGCAGGATGAATTCGAGAAATTCTCATCAGCCCACCATAACTGACTTCACGGAGAAGTATTCAATCTTCTCCAGTGTGCGAGGTTTATAGCGATATTACAAACTGCACTTGGTTTTCCAATTACGAAATAGTCCCGTGATTAAAACTCTTATAAATAAAACACGAAGAAACCGTGATGAAGTAAATCGAAGCAAGAGTGGTGACATTGTGAAATTTTTGCTCATTACTTTCTCATAAGATATTTATTTGATTCGGTGGTGTTGAGCGGTCGGTCGCTTAGGTCGCTCTCG